GCAGGATCATGTTGTATTATTATTAAAAAAACCCCAAACTTTGGCATCAAGTATAACGTACATAAGTTTTTGGAAATTACATCTAAAGAAACTAATACTACAAACAGTCTTATTTTAAACATTTAAGGATTGTTCTACAATTAAAAATTAATTGCTTCAAATATACCTTCCAGTTGGCCAGCTTTTGAGCCTCTATGATTTTTATAAAAGCTCCCATAAGGATACCTAGGAGAGAATGAGATAACATCCTGAAATATTCACAAAACACATCACTGTTTCCATTAATTGTTTATCGACTCTCAGTCAACAAAGTTTTAAAAGTGAAAACAAGGCAAAACATAAAGCAGCAAGTCTTTCATTCCTAAATCACAAAAACACAAAGTGGTTTTGGGTCCGATATATGACAGTTTCCAATACGTTACATAGTTACATAGCTTCCCTACACTTGGGATATCCAAATACTAAACACGCATATTGAGAGTGCTGTGTTTATTGGTTCATAAAGGTAACAGGTTTAACTACTCAAAAGCACTTCTCATCTAAGCTGCATTCAAATAAAATTCCACCTTTCTTGCTAAAGAATCAGGAAGTTATGAGTTAGATATCTGTGTGATAGCACAAAACCTTCACGTCACTTCAATGCTATTTGCAGTGTTAACACAGCTTAAGTGAAATCAATATTCTCCACAGAAGTGAATTTTGTCTCAATGAAATCATAGCACTTACTGGCAATGAAGTAGGCAAGAAATTCCGATCAGGGTGGAGACACTGTCAGAACTATTTCCCAGATGAATTACACATCTTTTAAGTCATGTAGAAATACTAATTTGAGTATAAAAGAATTTTATCAAGGGTGCTGCAAACTCAATGGTTAAAGGTTATCGTGCTCTTTCCTCCCATATGTCTTCAAACAGGTAAGACAGAAAACTCCAAACTAACACAATTTTTTCTGGAAGTCATGAAGATAATTCATGAACTGTCATTAATTGCTTTCAAGGAGTTACAAGGAATTTGTCTTTAGTCAGATTCCAGATCTGTGTTTCTGCATAGTTGTGTTTTATTATTTACAGAATGGAGACTTCATAGTCAAACACTGAGATGTAGAAGTGAAATACACTGAATGAAAGGTAAAAAGTGGCTGAGAAGCTTAAAATATGCTTTATGTAACTCATGTGGTTTTATTCTCTCATGCTGTAGCTATCAAAAGAGTCTTACAAATAGCATCACATGGATTACTCCTGATGGATGTGTCATACCCACAAAGCCATGAGGCTTAAGCCTTCTTTCATACAAAAATATGTGAAGGCATTGGTCCCAGAGGATGGAAATAATTGTTCCGTTAAATGGTTTATATGGAAAGGAAGAGCAAAACATTAATGAAGGAACATCAAAGGTCTGCTGTTCTTTGAAGGAGGACAGAATGCAGACACAGCCACTCACATGCCATATAAACACAGGTCTCAGTACTAACAGTCAGGCTTTCCATTCTGGAATGGAATCTGTGTCAGAAGCCAAGGACTAGAACATTTCTAATTTTTGCAGAGCAGCAACATTGTCTTCAACCAGTACAGGCAGTACTTGTATCACTTAACAAGAAGTTTATGTGCGGGAAAAACAAACCACAACAACCAGAGCCTATACAGCTGAAGGCACAGAGTTTAGGAAGTGTACTTCCTGAACAAACTTTCAGTATTTTATGAATCAGTATTGAGAGCATTCACATAAAACTATGTTTAGAGGGGATTTAAAAGAAGAGAGAATCCCTTAACTCACTTCTGCTGAAGTGGAAGGGCTCCAACGCGACTTTGTGAAATTGGACCCCTGTGAGTAGGCCAACGATGGCCTGTGGGCTACAAGCTGGGCATCCCTATCCTATGATCTCAAAAGGCTTAAGTAAAAGGCTGGTCTCAATCTCTTTTTTAGAGGAAGAGCTAATCACAGGCTGACCCTAACAACAGTGTCATGGACAGACGAGGTTCTTTCATGACATCAAAAGTTAAATGAACAACAATATAAATGTAAGGCAACAGCGGAGGTTAAGGGAAAAGGATGAGCCTGAATCATACAACTTACACCTTTATATAGCACAAGTTACTTCTAGCTGCCTATTACACACAACAGTACTACTAAACTAAGATTATGCTAAGCAAAGTCACGAAAGAGAGCTGCACAAAATAATGCATCACCAAGAGGGTTTAATAGCAGCAGAACCAAACTTTGACACTGATTTTTAAAACCTGTCCCAGACATCTTTACAAACTACTCTTCTTTTATTACTAGATTAATGAATGCAGTTTTTGTTCAGCTGGTTTCCTCTATTAAATCAGGTAGATCAGTTTTGTCAAGGGGCTAATTGGAAAGCTAAGTCTGTAAGAGTTAATCTAAGCCTCATTCTTTTGAAAACGTTCTAGGAATTTTCTTATTACAACCAACCTTTATTTTTCCTAAGAACATGTTAAAACTCAGTAACAAATCAAAGAGGAAAACTTTTCTGGCAACCATTTTAACCAAGAAAATTCCAGTAACTTTTAAGGACGAAGATCAAAATCCAGCCTTAGAGAATGCACTCCCTCCCTGTCGACCAGGAGAGTAACATGCCCTAGAAATTGTAAAACAGAAGCTTCTGAGCAGCTTAGGCAATGGGAGGAAAAACAGTCGTGAAAATCGTATTTATGTTCTCTGCTGCCATTTTTATTAGCCTTCAATAACTGCCTGAGAACATTTGCTTAATTTACAAGTCAAAATAGGACACACCTCACTTCTGGCACTGCTAGCAAAACTGGATACTTGAAACTCAAGCTGTGCTCTTGCAGCTGTGCAGATCATTACCAGTAACAGAGGTTCACTGACCAGCAATTAGCTGGCAATTCCAGTGATAATACAGACGCCATGTCCTGTCAACAGAGCTGACAGTAGTTTAAATATGACTGAGTCAATAAACTAAATAAATAAGGCTTAAGTGACACAGCACATCTGTTAGCTGGGTTGCTACTGGATATAATGCTTTCTTGACTTAGTGGAAATGCATTTGCTGGTATCATCTCGTCTGGTTTGGGAGATAAGACTACAGCTATGCTGTAGTTCACACTGAAAACCGAATTGTGCAAGTTTCCTTTATGCCCTCTATGTGAAAATACAAGAGATGCAATGCTGCTCCTTCTTACCCATCTTGAGTAGCAGTGACAGCCCCACCACAAAAACTTACCCGTTTCATGAACAAGCTTTTTTTGGGACTGACAGGAGCACAGAACATACCAGCACAGCTAAAATCCTTGTCCTGCTGCTGAGGTGTCAAGAACAAGAAACAGAAAGAGAAGAATGCCTGTGCCTCTGCTGCTCTCTGCAAAGCTCAGCAGAAGCAGTGATGCAAGCTTGCCTAACACCTCAGCTCAGCGCTGCCCAGTAGTCAGCCTGGGGCAGAATATAAGGAATGATAATAAAGAAAATCCAAAACTACGCCAGCAAGAGCAATCAATATACTGCTGCATTTTAAACTGGGGATTATGCTTAAATTTAGATTTGCTATTTAATAACAATGGGAACTAACCTGATTAGAAGCCAAATTAACACCTTTCACCTGGATTTTTGTGTACAAGGAGGAAGGATACTGAAGAGATAGTAATGTCCTTTTGGAACCTTTCAAGACACTGGAAGATATACTACACAAGACATCTCACCTGTCCATGGCAAAAATGTAAGAAGGGAAGGAAAGAGAAGTGTGTCAACAGTGAATCAAACACTGCATGTTTTCTATGATTCTATGGCAAAGTAAGTCAGGATGATCTGCAGCAGCTCTGATCTTTCTATGTCATACTATGGTAGACAGAAGCATAAATGCGCAGAAGTCTGATGGATGCTGCTCCTATAAAAATGTGCACGCAACACCCAGGAAATCCATACCAGCACAATGACAGATTTCTTACAGGTCTATTTGTTTTTCAGCTGCACAGAAACATCGAAACTCAAATAGGGCCTTGCAAGTGAATACCTCTTTAAGCTTCAATACGTTCTACTATGCTAGTAATGTGATGTGGTCTGCATCAAACAGTTATCTAAAAATTCAGGGAGTCATGCCTGCAGGAAAATATGTTTTTCTTTCTGCTAAGTAACAGCTCTAAAATCTTCTCAATCTAGCACCCAAGATGCAAGAAGATCCTTGTTTTCCAGAAAGCATAAGGTACTGACAAGCACCAGAAAGCTTACTTCCTCCCATTGAGAAATTGTGTGAAAATACAGTTAAGAAATATGAGAGAAGAAGGTACCAGCAAAGCCCAGGAGAAAGTAAAAAATCTACCTGCTCAACAAGTATTACACTCCTCCACGCTACGTTAGAATTACAGCTAAGCATCTTTCTCTTTTTGTTGTATTTTTAGAATGGCTGTCAGTGAAAGCGTCACTAGTAATAGAAGCAAAAATACCACAAATTCTTGTAAACAAGTTACAGAGACAGCTGAAAAACTGTTCCTGGGATTAGTTAGACCAGGTTCTTTAAACATTATGTTAGACAGTATGTAGAGAAAATAATAAATGTATTTGGCCTGATTTCCTCCTCATTTACACATTTATAGATCAGGAGCAACAGCATACAAATAAATGAAGTTACCCTAACATAAAACTACAGGCTTAGGAATACTCCAAATTTAATTCAAATTAAGTAAGCACTTGATCTTCATTAGAGGTGGCATTCTTATAGCTCAAGTCATAGGGAAGAGCTCTTGTCATGGTACTACAGGGATAGTTAAGTATCTGGCAGTCCAGGCAAGTTTTCAGGATACAATTACAGTCCCCAGCTAGATTAAAATCACATATACAGACATAATTCTACCAAAACTAATACAAACACATGTACCACTTCAAAGTGAAGGCCAGCGTCTCGCTGTCAGGGAGTGCTGCAGTATCTTGTCCTACAGTGCAGATGCAAAAATAGAGGAAGCTGCCAAAGTACTTAGGTAGTGACATCCCTATAGTGCCTTTATGTGTCATTTTACTGGGCCAGTCTCTGCACATGTGCTCATTTCTTGATTTCTTCCATGAATTTAATTCTATGAATTGGTTGTTTTCTTCACTGCATCCAGTTTGCTGCATCTTTCTAGTGATGGTTAACACACAACAGAGCATTATTTCAAATACAGACTACTGAGAGTCCCTGAATTAACACAAATTCAGTATAAAAATGTCATGGTTACTCACCTAAAGAAACAACAGCCACACTCTCTGGTAAGAAATGAAGTCGGTATTTTATCAGTAAATGCACCAATATGATGCAGATAGCTGTGAATGAAAAACATTTGTAGATTTAGAAGCATTAGAAGAGAATAAAATATACTTTTAAGTAGTATTTCTAAAATACATGCAGCAAAACTTCTCCTAATGATTTAATAGAAATCCACTAATGCAAGTAACCAAATTTTAGTTCAAACCTAATTCTCACTGAAGTACGAAAATGGATCTACAAATGACAGAAAATAACTAAGGCAAATCTTAGGACTTAAAATTATCTTCTAAAAATACCAGTATTAGTACTTTTAAAGCCTGATTCTCTGACCAGTAGCTGTAAAAAATGTCAGTTATACAGAATACACTGTTTTAATAAAGTTTTTGGTAAACATTTCGTATTTTTGAAATAAAACACACATGCACACATGGCCTCAATTAAAATTTCAAAGCTACACACTTTCACATCTGAGTGCCTCTGAGCAGATTGGCTTTACCCAAATGGATAATTCCAGAATCGGAAAAATTGCATTGGAAGGGATCTCTCGAGGGTCATCTAGACCAACTTCCTGCTCGAAGCAGGGCTAACTTCAAAGTCAAAGAAGACTGCCCAGGGCCTTGTCCAGTCAAGTTTGAAAATCTCTGAAGATAAAGAAGTCACAACCTCTCTCAGGCCCAGTTCCAGTGCTTAAGTCTCACGGTTAAGAATTTTCTTCTTCTCTCCAATCCGTATTTCCCTTGTGCAAGTTGTGACTGGTGCTTCTTGTTCTTTTGTGCACCTCAGAAGAGTCTGGCTCCATAGCCTCTGTAACCCCCAGTCAGTGGGGCTATGAGGTTGCAGAATGGGTAACTGTTTAAATATCTAGGTTCTCATAACAAGCACCAGCCAAATTCTTATCCAAATCAGCAGGAGACATTTACTGCTTACTAACTTTGCTAAAAGTTAAACCAGTAAGGGGAAAGGACCAGTGTAGAAAAACACAAAACAGATTTGGCTTGAACTTAAAAAAAAATTAGAATTTAAATCTGATGCAACATTCACTTACTGTTTTTAAAAGTTCAATATTGTACTGTAGTAATGTATTTCACCCAGTAGGGAGAAAGTTTATGTCTCAAAACAAAAACAGAGGTTACAGTAATACGAAAATCCCATCACAGCCTCTATGCCAATGGTAAAGGCAAATTACAAAGGATCTACAGCAGATCTGGGTACCATCCGTGGATATGGCTGGAAGACACCACTCGATTCTTTTAGAACTACCGCAGACAGGAAACTTATCTATAAGAATCAAATAATCCTGGATTATTAAATTCCTAACAATTTTGATTTGAATATTTCCCGCATTGAAAGTATCACAACTCTTCTCTCATTTTAATTTAGCTTAACAAAGGGTCAAACAAAAAAACAACATCTGGTCTGCATGTCTATAATACCTGTATTTCGCTCTATTTGCTAACGAACCATTCTGCAGTGGCCTGGGATATAAGCGGTATTACTGCTTGCATTTTGTCAGAAAGCAACTGAAACTCAAGCAAAGTCAATAGCATTTTATATACTGGAATCACACTGTGGCCTGTTAATCACAGCAGAGACTGTTTTAAACTGTGTATTTGGCAAACCTAGTCATAACTGTAACGGGAATCTTCATTTTCCTTACTCTGTGCCTTGTAAGTGTCTGTGACTCTCACCCTATTTCAGTGTGGGCAGCATAGTCCCAGGCCACACTACAACAGCACACATATTGAACTCGGGAATGAACTAGCTTCTCGGAACTGCTCTTAGTGATTTGGTTTAACAGCTCCTTCTAGTTAACTAAAAACCAAACAGCCACTCACAGATGGTTCAGAAGAGCATTTTCAATTTACAGCCCGAAAAGGTACAAAATTGTCCACAAGTAGTTCTGAGCACTGGCATGGTTTGCTGGATCACACCACCTGTGAACTACTGGGGTCTACAACATGATCTCTATTTACGATACAGTGTCACAAAAAAGAACTACAAACCTCATAAATACAAGTATCACTTTTCATCATCCTACTCTCCAATACGGCGCTAAGGAATGGCCATCACACTGATGCCTGCATTCTCCCACTTGTTATCTCATAAACCCAGTTCATACACAACATGGTGAGCATTTCATTGATGTGCACGTGAATAGATGGATGGGCTTACAAACTGAGCAAGGACTCATGAAAAACAGTAATATTTGCTTAATTACTGGCATGTAATTTGTTCACGGCCAAAGCTGTGGGTTCAGAGTGATGAACAGGGATGGCTCCATTCCCCGCATATTTACCCCACTTCCACTCCACCAATCTTTATGATCAATCAGTTCTCAAAACACCTGAGTTTACAGCACAATACTTTAATGCAGACTCAAACTGGTATATTTACTTTAAAATGCTGTACTAGAAACTGCAGCAGTTCAGAAGCTGACTTACAAGCAACTCAAGACATTTGGCCGCCAACTGCCAAACAGACTATGGGAGAAATAGCTTCATCACGTATCCCAAGCAAACTTTTTATTCAGCTGTCAATCAGTATTATTGAGTTTCATATCAATTTCCTGCCTGTTAAACATGAAAAATATGCATCCAGTAAAGACATCTAGGATTACTGTGTTAAAAGCATTCTATACTGCTCTTTGGGATAGATCCATAAAGGCATCTGGACATGACGGCTTTCCAGCAAACTCCAATGCAAGCACAAATATGCTTCCTATTTAGCAGATCTAATCACCAGCTCCCTTCTACCAGCTTTTGACTGCTTTGCTTTGGCAATAAAACAAAAAGCAACCATAGCCTAAGAAGTAACCCCACCCCACCATAAATATTATGGCAGCCTAGTATATTCTTTAGCTGTTGGTCACCCACTCCTTGTGTAAGACTGCTCAGTCTGTATCTGGCAGCGTATCACCTGCTCCAGGCACTTGCACGTATCAGGAGTAAAACAATCAGGCAAGAGGCTGGAAAAAGCAGTGTTCTGGACAGGCTAAAAGAACATTTGAGTGTCCCCTTAAGGAAGAACACAGTAAAAGCATGTAACATAACAGAAGGGAATTCATGGATCACATGAACATGGCAGAATAGAGGTATGACTTCGAAAGTGAAGTGGTGTTTGAACAGATAAGCCATAGAAATCTGGGGTCAGAGACTAACTCATGCTACTTCAGGCACTTTAAATTTACGGCTTGGGTTTGACACAACACAGCTCAGAACAGATCCGCTTCTGGGTCTCTTCCAGTTTAGAACATTTCAAACACCATTTTACAGTTCATGACATCCAGATTTAAGAGTATTGTAAACACATTCATTTTCACCCTCCCTACACCCTTAAATCAGAGATTATGAATGGGAATAACTATGAACAATAAGCTTTTATACTGGCTTTAATTTGTTCGGGGAACTCCCCTGTCCTGAGGATAATGCTTTTAAGATCCATCAAGCTATCAGACTGGCATAAATTGGCTGGAACACAGCCAAAAAAATCATAGCTCTGTTCCTAAGTCCTAGGAATACAATTTTACCATGAATGGCCCTTTTAAAATCCATGAGATACACATATTCAGAAATTTTATTTTAATCTTAGAAGTCTTCTGATCTACTGCATTTTGCTTTGGTCTTTCTTTTGTTTCTGTTCAAATTCTAATATGCCACTGACCTCTGGGAAAAGATTAACGCCCTTTTGAAGACAAATAGATACTTTAGAAATAAGCAGAAGCTATCTGCTTTTTGCTGCACTTAATAATAGTTCTTTATAGGAGACAAAATTTTTTTTTTTTTAAATCCAAATGATTCGCAGAAGTTTCTGCATTGCTGTCAACTCCATATCTATTATTTTCTCCACATGCTACTGGAAAGAATAACCACTTAGAAGACTATGTGACCCATCTGTCACAGAAAAGTCTTTCAGTGTAGCTTGCTTTGGAGGAACCAAGCACACAAACACACAAAGAAAAACAGACAAAGCCTTAACCCTCCATGAAAGTTTTGTTATTGTTACAGTTCTGACTACAGCATTGCTCTAAGCAGATGGTGAGAGATAACTATATTCTATTAAAGAAAGATAACAGCCCAGACTTATAGAAAAGTTGGGCATGCATCTGCCATTCAAAATGCCTATATATGTACAACGTTAATTATGGCAATCTGCACGTTATTATCGCACTCTTGTAGGAATGTAAGAAAGTAAGGAGAGCCAGAAAAATAGATACTGAACTTCAGTACTTGTGCATGTAAATCTGACTGCCTTCTACTGGCTTACATAACAAAATATCTGAGGGCTGTCCAGAAGTGCTAGAAGTAGTTAAACTGACATCTATCTAGCACACTGTCCTCAAAGACAGCTGCAAGCACTGTGGAATATTCTGACAGTGTCTTTTTCATACATGAACACATGCCACGTGCTTGATAAAGAAGGCAAAGACAATTAAACACATTATTTGCACTTTGAGACCATGTGAAAAGGTTTGCAATGGTCCTCAGCTTTCCATAGGTTTGGGACGTTCAGGCAGTTATATACCCAACTTTCTAAATCCCTATGCCTGTACAATATTCCACTTCATCGAGAGAAAACCAGAGGAGAAATAAAATGCTATGATTTTGAAAGCTGGCCTATGTCCTCAGATACAGAGTATGATTAACAGAGATTAAAAGACTTTCAGTTCATCATTCACCTACAACAAGAAGACTAAAAAAAATCGTCATGCCACTAGATTGCTCCTCTTGCTGTGCTTGGACTCCAGTCTGAACTGGTAGGATAGGTTTAGCAGGTGTAGGTACTACCAATTTGGTAGTAGCAGCCAGCGTAGTGTGGAGGGTGACATTGATGACTTCATGGGTAGCATTTGTAGACCTGTCAGGATAATATAATACATGATTATACTGGACGGGAGCAGCATGATAAAGACTTAGCCTACTAAAGACATGCACACATGAAACAACCACCAGATCATACTGAATGTGTACTAGTGACCAACACATTAAGGTTGCTTTTTAAAAGTGGTCTCTGATCACAGACAAATACTGGAAGTTCAGATTCATGGAGCTGATAATTTCTGAGTTCCTTCATGCACTGCAGACACCAAATATTCTGCACTGCAGCTGGGGATGCAGGTGAAAGCTCGACACAGGGAGGATGAATTAGCCCACTTAGCCTGTCGAGTGTAACAAACCCGCTGTGTCAGACCAACGGCACCACGGGACTGCACTTGCCAGCTCCTACAACCCCCCCTGCCGCGCAGGGCCGCTTCACAGCCGGCCCCCCCTCCCGTGGGCAGGATGCTCCTGGACCCCCTCCAGGGGCCCGCGCTGCAGCTCTCAGTCCACGGGCAGGCACAGCCCGTCGGGCTGCCCCCGCTACC